ATTACACATTGTGGTTGTGCATCCTACATTTTCTATTGTGGCTCTGCATTGTGTATTGTTCATTGTACATTAACTTAGTCATTGATCTGTATTGTGCAATGTTTCTGTTATGGATGGGAGATGTGTATTGCTGCTATGGTGTATGTCTGGTAAACAAAGGGGCTGTTGGATTGAAGTCTTTGTTTATCTTTTTCCCCCTTCTTTCATATTATTGACTGTAATGTTTTAACTCTATGCTCCTTCTTGATTGCTGCAGGCACATAATAAACCAACATGCAACATGTAAAGTGGTTAAGAGCCCAGGTCTGAATCCTGTTGATGTCTTATACATGCATAAGTTCCCCTGCCAAAGTAGTTGGACACTATTGTTGATGTGGAACAGTTGCATTTTGTTCAAGACATTGTGCATGTAGTGCTCTTGCACATGGAAGTACATCCTGCATTATGTGTGTTGGATTGTGCATTTAGTTTCACATTTGGTGTCTTGGTTCAATTGTGCAGTATAGCCATTCAAGTCAAGAGTTGCATAGCACAATTAATGTGTAACTCTGTATGCAGAAATTTAAGCTGTATGCAACCCTGATATAGGAATTTGGCATATAAGAAGGGCTATGCTACATCAAAGTCCTGTCTAGTTCAGTATTCTGTTACCACAGTGGCCAGCCTGGTGCACCAATGAAAAGCCCTCAAGCAGGACATGAGAGCAACTAGCCTTCTCTGCAGTGGTCTCCACCAACTGGTCTCCAGCAATTAACGTTCAGAGGTATACTGCTTCTGATACTGGTGATAATATAGGTTGAGTCTCCCTTATTCGAAATGCTTGGGACCAGGAGTGTTTTGGATTTTGGAATATTTGCAATATACATAATGAGATATCTTGGAAATAGGACTCCACATAATTCATTTATGTTTTGTATGTACCTTATACACATAGCCTGAAGATAATTTTATACATAATATGTTTAACAATTTTGTGCATGAAACATAGTTTGTGTACACTGAACCATCAGAAAGCAAAGGTGTCACTATCTCAGCCCTCCCCTGTGGACAATTTTGGAGTATTTTGGATTTCAGAATTCTAGATAAGGGATACTCAACCAGTATATAGCAGGATGGTAGCTGTCAAAGTTGGTGGTGGTTCTGAATTAGGGCCTGATGTACTAATGGCCTATATTTCAATCCCAGTGGCCATTCCTCAAGAGCTCAGCTCTTGAATGCCTTGATATCCAATTGGAAGGCACCTGTAGGCTTGGTCAGAGCAAAATGTACAGAGGTACAGATCAAAATGGGGTGGGGGAATAATTGTTAGAAAAACAGCACCTTCTGCACTTGCTCTTGCTGTTCTCCTTTGTCTTTCTTTTCTACTTGCTTTCCCTTCCTCTGTTAGCCAACTATCCCAAAAGCATTATGGACAGATAACTTTGTCTTGTTCAGGCAGGGTTAATTGAGCAACTGCCCTCCATTGGAAAAGAAAAAGAACTGAGCCAGACTGAGCCTTCCACCTCTCTTCCCATCTGTTCTTTGATGAGGGAGGACATACACCAACATGTCTCCCTCCCATCTTTTTCTCTTTTAGATTAATTTAGGAAGGACCAGGCTGTTTCTATCCAAGAATGTATTACCTTAATAAATGCTCCTCCTATTGAAGATTCTAAACTTATTCTTCTGCCTGCAATTTGGTTCTTTCAAAACTCATTGTCCTAACATGGACACTGTTGGGAACAATGTTCCTTTAAGACATTGTAAAATAGTTTGTATGGCTGTAAATGTAACACTAGGTTTCAACCCTTAATAATCACCACTGTGTATAAGTGCTCCAAAACCCAAGGCAGGTGCGGGTTGATGAAGAGAGTGGGTTGTAGAGTGAGCTGATGTATTGTTTATAGAGAGTGAATTGCTGTATATCAGACAGTGAATGTTGGAGAGATTTACAAGAGAGTATGTATGTAACTTGTACATAATGCAGCAAGTGATAAAAGCCTCCAGGGACTTTTGGACAAATCCAACAGTGTCTGTGCATCATTCATGGTTGGTCAGTGCAGTATTGCCACATACTACTAACTAAGTTTGTGCTTCTGCACTATGCTGTGTTAATAGCTACGGTTGAAGTCAAACACCTCAGACAGTGCTGATAGTTGGCTTCTCCAGTGGCCCTAGTTTTTGTTTCTGTCACTGCATGCCTGCAGGATCTAGAAGAGAGCCAACAGGCACCTTGGGTGTGAATGGAGTAAAGGCTCTAACAGGACTTTCACTCCAAAAATAATCTTATGATCCTTCCCTTCTAACAAGAATGAGCTGTAGAGTTCTGTAGCTGCTGAGTGGACCATGTCACTTTGTCTTATAGTTAAAGGATAATGTATCTATCTGCCTGTCTGTCCACCTTACTATAAAAAAAGATTTCAATATGTGGAAATGTAACCTTACAAATGCACCCTTTTTCTCCGCCTCCTATGTTCAGTATCTTTTGATGTGTTTAAAATACCATTTAAAAGGACACTCCTTAGATAAGATCCTACATTGGGACAATAATGTTACTATGGGGGGAAGCAGACGGGTGGCTGTGGGTCACCCCAGGAAGCTGCGCCATGGGGCCGAGGTATCACCACACCTCGGCCCCGTGGCGCGGCTTCGCCGCCCCTGGAAGGAGCACTAAATTGAAGCTCCTTTCACAAGTCACCGAAGGTGCATTGCAAAAGCTGGCAGCGCACCTTTGGTGACTCTTCCACTGCAGTATGTATGGACGCTGCAGCAGGAGGTCCTCCTCCGAGCGCCAGGTGTGAAAAGGGCCGGCTGCTCCGAGGGCGACCTGGGGAAGGGGTTGGGGCACCCACCGTGCGGCTGCCCCTCCCCTTCCCTGCCCCTAAAACATCTCTTTAAGCCGTCTGCTTTGCCCCTATGTCTCCATAGTTACATTCTCCACCCCAAACCTACCTTTTAAGGTATGTAACCCCCCAACAAAGAATTTCTAAGACAATGGAGAGTGGAGCAGTGAGCAATGATGCACCCAGCTCTCTCCCAATAGCACTGTTGGAGAGGGATGGCTTAAATGATAAGTTTGGAGAAACACTCTTGGTTGTTGAGATAGTGCAGTGACCATCAAAGTAAATTATTGTAAATATTGTGTTATCCATAAAACAGCAAAATCCATAAAAGAGTGATATTTTTATTTGGTCAGCCAAAGTTCACAATATACATGTTGCAAGCTTTTGAAGTTCCACTAGCTTAAATTTAAATTAAATTTTATTAGCAAAACAAAAAGCTACTGTCTTTAAGATCCAGTTTCTCTCAATTCATTGTGAAGCTACAAGCCCCATGTTGGCCATATAGCAAAGTACAATAACATAACATAACCTGGATGTGTCGGATGTGAGGACAGCTGGATGGTGAAGCAACCCAGTTGTCCACACGTACCGTGTCATCCCCACTGGCTCATTCTCCCTGGTGCCACTGCAGCCCCACCATGTGATCAACAAGGAGGAGATCACTCTATCCCATCCTTATTGATCACACAGAAGACACCAGCAGAAGCAATGACAATGTCCAGGTTCTTCCAGAGAGCTGCTTGACCAGTGAGGACACAGCAGTGGTGGCATTGATGGGAATGGGCCAGTGGGGATGATGTGATATTTATTTGGAGTATTTATATCCTGCTCTTCAATCACAAAGACTCTTAGAGCTGCTTACAAATGGTTAATTAGATGGTTCCCTGTCCTCAGGCTTACAATTTAAAAAGACATGACTCAAAAAGAGAAGAGAATGGTAGCAGGGTCAGGTGCAGCAGTTCTTCTCTCCCTCTGAGGCCTGGACAATGGCAGATGGACTGGAGGGAGGGCTCTCTTTCTTAAAATCAGCTAGGTCCAATGGAGCTGGCCTGCCTCTGAGGTCGAGGAGGTAATATAGGTAACAGACCCTTGTCTCTGTCCAGCAAAAGAACAAACGTTTGCCTTCTATACCCAGTGCAAGAATAAAGTGCAAGTGTAAAGAGCAGTGCCAGCTGAATTAGGGCTTCAGTCCTGCAAAGAGCTAGATCACTAAGGAAAACAGAGGTCTAAGGCAGTAGCAAACACAGCAGCCTCTTCTTTCCTAGAGCTCCTTGATGGTCTCTGTGATCCCCAGTCTTTCTGCTGGGTGCTGTTTGGTAAGGCCTCCCTCAAAGTCCTGTTTTTATAGTTCAGACAGGCAAGGCAGCTGTGATGGGTAGAGGTCAGTGCCTGCTTCAGTCCCACAAAGAGCAAGATCTCTGAGGGAAGCAGAGGTCCAAGGCAGTAGCAAATACAGCAGGCTCTTCCTTCCTACAGCCCCCTGATGGTCTCTGTGGTCCTTAGTCCCTCTCCCTAAGAGGTCACATCAGTGGCAGTTGGAATGGATGGAGAATGCCTCATCAACTGCTGGGAATAGGCAACGATGGTTCTTTTCTCCCTCAGAGGCTACATCATCTTGCCTGTGGCCAATCTGGACATGTTTGGCCAATAACATGTCAACCTGGGGCAGCTCTGGAACGTGATGCTCTGGATTAAGGAATCCATTGTAGACTGCCCATGTGCTCTCACCCTCTGAGGATGGAATGGCAAACCTTTGAACAAATCTTGCTGAAAGTTAGAAATGACTTAAAGGTACACCACCACCACCACTACTCTTTTGTGATAAAATTAGTTTTAGTTATTTTTATAGTTATGGGAGTATGAACATATGAAATAGCCATGACGTTAATCCGATTCCAATGCCAATTCATGCTTTGCTTCATGCTCTTTAGAGACATAGCCATGTTAGTCCAGAATATCAGTATGCAAAGGGATCTTGTAGCACCTTTGAAACAAACTGTGTGAAAGAAGTTGTAGCATAAGCTTTCATAGAGTTCTACTTCTTCAAGATCCCTTTGCATAGTTATGCTCTTTAGTGAGTGTTGTAGGGACAATGAGATAAACAGGAGGAAAATGTATTTCATACCACAGATCAGTAACTTGTAGCATTCACTCCCCCCCCCCCCCTTAAAGTTGAGAGCCAGTGTGGCATAGTGGTTTGAGCGCTTGACTATGACTTTCGAGACCAGGATTCAATTCCCAGCTTGACCATGAAACCGACTGGTTGACCTTCAGCAAGTCATATGCTCTCAGCCTAAGGCGAAGCAATGGCAAACTTCCTCTGAACAAATCTTGCCAAGAAAACCCCATGATATGTTTACTTTAGGGTTTCCATAAGTCAGAAACAATTTGAAGGCAGACAACAATAACAGCAACATCAAATAGTTACTATTATTATGAGTTCTGAGAAACTGGGAAGTGAAGCAGTTTTTAAAATGGTTATTATAATTCACCAAAACACAATGGGCCGTACACAAAACAATTACATACAGGCCAAAGGATGCCTTGCAGTTTGTCCTAACTCACAGGGCTGGAAGTACAGGTGTACCAGAGGGGTAATTCCCACATGGTTTTTTGGGTTTGTTATTCACACTATGGAACCACATCTCTACGTATCTCTGTGAATTTGGTTGCTCACATGTGTCACCACTCTAATAAAGATGGAGTCAATGATGCAAATGTACTCAGAGCACTTTCAAGTCATGCAGAGGTTTATCCCAGGACTATTTACATTGTTTATTCAGCCGAGAATCTAATTTTTTAAGAAAAATCTGAGGGAAAATCCGACATAAATTATCCCAGGTTAAGTGGATTTTTTTAGCAGCCCCCCCCCAAACAAAACCTTAATAGGATGCATTTGAAATGCATGTGAACAACAAGGATTCATCTCAGATTTTACCAGGATTATTTTCACCATCTGAATAATCCCAGAGAGAGTCATAACCATCTGCTATTTCTCCCCTTATTTCGCAAGTCTGTTTCAGGAAAGCCAAGACATAGATGTGGCCAATAAATGGATTGTAACTCAGTATTCTGCTCATTGCCTCACCCTGACCCCAATAACTGTTTTCAGAATTTTCTCTCATTAAAGACCAGTAGGAAATGAGTATGAGGTGCCCTTATGCAAATGAAGTCAACATTGTCCTCAATATTCCCAGCAGCATCCCTTTTGTCTGTTTCATTACAGCCATTATGTGCGGAAATAAATAGCTATTTGTTATACAGTCGTGTTTTACAAAAATCAAACCCACGGCATTTGAAAGTGTTTTGCTTTTCCTTAATTAAAAACACATCAGGCTTTGGGTAAGGCATCAGTATGTGTGTGGGGCAGGGTAGCTTCTCTGGCACCCCATTTTACAGCTGGGAAGCAAATTTCTAATAAAATCTTTTTTGAAAGGAATATTGCCTTCATTCAAATCTCCTATAAAAACTATCCATCCATTAATTCCAGTTAATGACACTACAGCGTTTCCGTTAACACTGGTAGTATTTCTTGGCTAATGGATGATTTTCAACAAAATCAGAATCAATGTAACTTTGGACAGGGCCTTACAGAATTAATTTACTGCTTTGATGCAGGTTGAACAAAGCACTGGAGCCTCCCCAAGCATGTAAATCACCAGGGTTTCAAATTCTTCCTAGTATGCACACTTTATTGAGGGCGTTGGAAAGCTTTTATGCAGCAAAAAATCAGTCACTTGGTTCACCTGATTACCTTCTTTCATCATTTAATTTGGTTGATGGGACTAGAGGTTGGGGAGAGGAATTGCTGTTTTGGAATACAGCTCCCAGAATCCACCAGCCAGTGTGGATTCTGGGAGCTAGAGAATCTTTGAGCTGGAAGGGACCACAAGGGTCATCTAATCCAACCCCTTAGCATGCAGAAACATACAGCAAAAGCACTCCTGGAAGATGCCTACCCAGCTTCTGTTTAAAAACCTTCATAGATGGGAGAGTCCACCACCCTCCAAGGCAATCTATTCAGCTGTAAAACAGTTCTTACAGTAAAGAAGGTCTTCCAAATGTTTAAGTGGAATATCTTTTCTTGTAATTTGAAATCTTTAGTTTATGTTCTAGGCTCAAGAGCAGCAGAAAACAAGTCAGATATTTGAAGATAGCTATTATGTCACATCTCAGGCTGCTGTCATACTGCAGAAATAAAGCAGTTTGAGACCACTTTAACTTCCATGGCTCAATGCTAGGGAATTCTGGGATTTGGAGTCTGTTGTGTCACCAGAGTTCTCTGACAGGGAAGGCTAAATATCTCACAAAACTACAAATCCCAGAATTTCCTAGCATTGAGCCATGGCAGTTAAAGTGGTGTCAAACTAATTTATTTCTGCAGTGTGGCAGCAGCCTTGGTCTTCTCTTCTCCAAGCTAAACATATTCAGTTCACTAAATTGTTCCTCATAAGTCTTGGTCTCTAAACTTTGGCTTTGATAATCTTGTCCACTCTTCTCTGGATATGTTCCAGCTTGTCAATATCCTTTTTCAACCATCGTGCCCAGAACTGAACACATATTTCAGATGAAATCTGACCATAACAGAGTAGTGGAACTAATACTTCCCTCAGTATTCATTTTGATGCAGCCCAGAATTGCATTGGCTTTTGGGGCTGCTGCATCACACTGTTGACTCATGTTCATGTAGTTTGTGGTCTACTAAGACCCCTAGATCCTTTTCACATGTATAATAATAATAATAATAATAATAATAATAATAATAATAA